CAGGTGTCAGCCAGCCATGGTTACAGAGACATGACGAGTTGACGCTGGTAACCTTCAGTGATTACATCATTCCAGAGTAGTCAGAAGTGCTCTTCTAGGACATGGGACACTGAGATCATTTGGTTGTACTAGGCCATGAGGTCACTCAGATGACCCAGAGCAGACTTAAACTTTTCATGTGTTCATTTCCATGAAGCAAAAAAAAACCTAAAAAGGTTTCATAGAAAACTTTTAGATCCCCAAGAATACATCTGAACTCCTAGGAAACATTTCTCCTCTAACAAAAGTGTCACAGAGAACCTGTTACTCCGATTCTTCCTACTGCTTAGAATCCTTTCAGTGTTGCAAATTTATACAGAAATTTAATTTTTATTCATTTTCTTAAGTTGAGTTCTCATACATGGACTCATTGAACCAAAGGTGTAGATAGATGCATTTGGACAAATTCTCGTTATATTTTGCTTGTTCTGTCAGTTTTTCACGAGGAGCTTGGACCCCGCATGGAGCTTACGCAGAGCTTTGTTCTAAGGCTGAAGTTGGGGCGGGCCCGGAGCTGGACCTGGGGAGTCCTTACAAGCCAAGCCCGAGACTGGCTGCCTCTGCTCTTCGGCAGGACTGGGTGTCGCTGCTGTGCTTGGGCGCACTCTCGCTTGTGGGCTGACTACCCTCTCCCGAGCCTCTGCGGTCTTCTGGTCCAGTGATGAGCACGGGTGTCATACAGGCCTGTAAAGGCTGACCCTGGGGCAGCCTTCCGATTTGCTTCCGGGTAGTGGTTTGTCCACCACTCCACGCCTTCACTTGTGTGCCTTTGTGGTAGTTGTCTCGATGACTCCTTTTCCCTACGGTGTCCACATCCACTCGTCCAGTGACGCGTGAATCCTCTCAAAAGTAGCTGAAGGAATGCTGCTGGCCTTAGCTCGAACTTCTGGCTTCGGCTCTGTGCTCCCGGCACGCCTTCCCCTCCCCGGGGGCTACCGCGGTGCTTCCTTGGACCCACACTGTAGCCGTGGAGTTTTTGGTAACTCCTAAAGTGTTGTCGGCCTCTAGAAAACCCGTGCTGAATGTCCTGCCTGATGTTCTGTCCTCTTTTCAGGCTTCTGCTCTGGGGTCCCTTTTGGGGTACCTCTCCCTTCTAAAGGTTGAGTCGTCAGCGTGCTGTGTGTGCTCAGATAGGACTGTCACGCGGCACTGAGGTGTATGCGCTGGCTCCGCTCGGCACGCGTGGCGGCAGCGTAGGCATTCCCCAGAAGCCCAAGGGTGCCCGCGCTGCCTTCTGCTGCCCGGTCGTCCCGATCAGCGGCTCCGGTGGATTACTACATGTGTTTGATGGAACTCGGTGTGTTTGTGTTACCTGTCAAGTTGTAGTTTATGGAGTGGAGTGCTTACTTGTGTGTGTTACGGCAGAGTCCACCACCGTAGACAGCTGGACAGTGCTGCTCTCTAGCTCTCTCTGTTCTTTACCTACCCTGCAGATGTCTAGCTCTGCGCGAACTTTTGTATTGCTCTGAGCCTGAGTCATGTAATCCTGCTTATGGGCTCCTTTCACATTTGTAGTATCTAAACCACAGCTGGGCTCTCCAGAGTGCCAGGGCGGCATTGTGTTGTGGAGCTCCAGGAGATGTCCCTTAAAAAGTGTATCCGTGGCCAAATATACAAAATTTGGCTGGCTATAGTGCCTCTTCTGGGAGCTCCTCGGACAGTCTCCTGAATTGAGGCTGGGAACCTTAATCTCATTACTCGTTCTTCCCTTTTGAGGAAATGGATAGGATTGTTTATTAGGTTGTGACCATTTTTTTCCTAGCAAAGTATACCAAGGCCTAAGTATCTTTAGCTGGGAGACCATTTTGAGAATGGTCTTTTGAGAATCCAAAGTCTTTTTTTGAGAATTACACTTCTCTTTCTTTCTTTCTTTCTTTTTCTTCCTTCCTTCTTTCCTTCCTTCCTTCCTTCCTTCCTTTCTTTCTTTCTTTCTTTTTTTTTTTTTTTTTTTTTTTTTTTTTAGAAAATGTATGGCTTTATTACAGTAACTTTACTACCATGAAGATTCCATGCAGTTTTCCATGGAGACGGTTATATCACTAGAGAACATACCTCTTTCTTTCCAGCCTTTCTTTCTTTCTTTCTTTCTTCTCCTTCTCACCTTACTGTGCTGGCTAGAACATCCAGTGCGTTATTAAATAGAAGGGGCAGTAGTGGACATCCTTGGCTTATTTCCAGTTACAAGGAAAGGGGATTTAATGTTTCACCCATTACATAATGTTTCTAGCTCTAGGTTTTTCATAGATGTTCTTTTTCAGAATAAGGAACTTATTCCTCTTTTCTGTTTTTCTATTTCTAGTTTGCTGAGACTTTTAAATCTTATATGGATATCAAATTAACATTGTCAAATGCTTTCTTTTTTTATGCATCAGTTAAGAAAATTATAAAGATTTTCCTCTTCATACTATACTTGAGTTGCTTGAGTTTTTTGGGTTTTTTTTGTTTTGTTTTTGTTTTTCCCTATGTCAAGACAGTTTTGCTCCCTGGAATAAACCCCCACTGGGTAAGGATACTACTTTTTCTATGTACATTACTGAATGTGACTTGCTAATATTTGTTAAGGATTTTTCCATCTAGGAGTAGCAGACCTTTGCTTTGTGTTAGTGCAGGATCTTGGGTCCAAGCCAGTTTCTTGCTCCTGTGCCAGGGTCAGATAGCTTTTTCGTCTACTCGTTCCTCAGCATCAGTGTGTCTTTGTCTGGAACTGGTGGTGGCTGTGTCTCCTCCCCTCCGCTAGCAGAGTAGACTGTGGTTATTGTTACGTGGTGAAAGGCTTGTTGGTGTGTGGTAGGTGGGCAAGTAGGTTTGCCCCCCCTCTCTCCACCTCCCCCAATAGTACCATAGCTTTTCCTCTGCTCTTTCCCTTGGGCTCTCCGTGTGGGAGGCTTTCCTATTCTCCCTCCTAGCTAAAGGCTTTTATTTTATAGGACCTGCCCCTAATGGGGAAGAGTTGTCTCCCATTTCTTGCCCCATGCCAGTCTTTCAAGAGATCTCAGCTGAAGCCCATGGAGAAGAGTTTGTGATGAGTGCAGGTTTCTTCTGTCCAGATCTTACACAAATTCTTAACTGTCATCCTAGCGGACACTCAGCCTTTATCTTTACATCTGTCTTCAACATTGAGCCCATTGACTATGACTGTGCTTCCTTTGTATCTGTGGGTTGATATCTGTCATCATTTTTGAAATCCTCAGAATTTTAGTATGTCTTGTCAGCAGACATGTTGCTTTTAAAAAATTTTATAAAGAGTAGGGTGCTTTCTCCTTACCCTCCTCTAGGTTAGGATTCTTCCCCCTTAGCCACTCCACCAGGTAAGAAACCGTTCATGGGCCTCGATTTCCTGTCTCAGCACTGTCTGGAATTTAGTTCCGTTTTGGTTACTTTGCATCCTGAACTCTGATGGGTTCAGAAAACACTTGATTTTGTAGCCTTATCTGTCTTATTTTTGCAGCCTTATCTGTCTTTGTAGCCTTAACTGTCTCTGTGTGACTGTGAGGGTGAAATGATGGTCTGTTGTCATTTCTACATCCCAGTTAGAATTGGGAGCTCTTCTACACCTTTTACTTCATAGCCTGGAAATACCTGCTTCATTCTAGCTGATTTTTTAATAGATTTTTTTGTCTTTAAGATTTTATTTATTTGAAAGAAAGTGAGAGAAAGAACAGGAGCAGAGTGGGAGGGGTGAAGGCAGAGGGAGAAGCAGACTCCTCTTTGAGCAGGTAGCCCATCGCAGGGCTTGATCCCAGGACCCTAGGATTATGACCTGAGCCAAAGGCAGACACTTAACTGACTGGGCCACCCAGGCACCCCTGTAGCTATTTCTTAGAGCTGCATTTCTAAATCTTCACTCTTCTCAAGTCTCAGCTCTCCAGTTCCGTCCTCAAGTGGTAAATGATCTTATCTCTTATTTTGAGATTAAAGTCATCCACATTAAAATTTAATTATGGGGCTTGTGAAGAGTGTGGGGAGAATTTATGGTAGGCACATAGAAAAGTAAGCACATGACAAACTGAGATCATTAACTTGGGAAAAGAAAGAGTTGTACAAAAAGGGAAACATGATTATATAGTAGTTTACTAACGATCTCGTCAGACACAAAACTACCTTTGGGAGATAATTATTAAGGTTGGAGGAAAGTGAATAGTTGTGGTATAAATCCTCACTTTCCAGAAACAGTAGATGATACCTAAACTTGATGTTTCAAGGGGTACCATCATGAGCTTTTTCCTTGAAGTATAAATAGCCAGAAAATATTAAAAATTTTAAGGAATTGTACCTTGGTGTGAAAAGAGGAAATATATTTGACTTTAGTTATGACGCATACTGTTTGTTACTTAGATAAAAATGAAAAAGTTTTTGAAAAGAGGCCTAGCTTGAAGCCTTCTCAGGGAATCATAAAAGTGAAGCACACCTTTTCTTCACACGCTGTTTTACCTTTATTTTTTAAAATTTTTGTTGTTTACTTCACACATGATGCCTTTTCCTTTCTTACAGCTTTAGATTTTACTTTATACTTCGTTATGAAAATTTAAAACTTCAGGGAGAGTAGACTTAATACATTTAAAAAATACTTTCGTTAAGTGTCCTAAAACATTTGGTGAATTGAGAAAAACATTTGGTGAATTGTTTTTCCCTATTCAGTGAAAATATCTTCATTATTGACACTATTAAAAGTTAAAAATGAAGTAGTATTGGTAGTGATAAATTTCACCAGTGTTGGTACAGATCTTACTTGCAAAATTGTTGTATTTGTCCACTTATAACATGGTTTTGTTTTTTAGAATTTGTTTCCACAATTGCTTTAAAGTAGTAAAGACATTGTTGTTGGAGAAGAAGATGACTTCTGAAAGTCTGCGGTGATCTGAATTTCTGTCTCATTTTCAGATTTGCTTTAGAGACAACATTGAAGTTATGACTGGATTTTAAAGTTAGCCTCTGAACGATCCCTTCCGTATCTTTTCTAGGTCAGATAGAGGAGTGTCTTCTCTCAGCGCGGGTTGCGGCCTTTGGTGAGAGCATGTCGTCCATCTTGCCATTCACTCCACCGGTTGTGAAAAGGCTGCTGGGATGGAAGAAATCAGCTGGTGGATCTGGAGGAGCAGGCGGAGGAGAGCAGAATGGACAAGAAGAAAAGTGGTGTGAGAAAGCAGTTAAAAGTTTGGTGAAGAAGCTAAAGAAAACAGGACGATTAGATGAGCTTGAGAAAGCCATCACCACTCAAAATTGTAATACTAAATGTGTCACCATACCAAGGTAAGTGTCGTTAGAGCAGAACTTCTGTGGTCATACTGTTGAAAATTGCTTAAAGGAAGCCAAAGCAAGGTCACTGAAATTTTGTTACTGTCAAGTCACCTGTAAATAGTGATTATTAAAACATATGCCCACTCTTTTTAACTTGGCGTTTCAGTTTTATTTGACCAGTTAAGACTTGTTTTACAAGTCATTTTCTTGACCAATGAAGTTTAATCAAGCAAAATAAAATACTTAGTTGTATTGTTTTATCTTCACTGCGTTCATTTACCTTCATTGCCTAAATGCTGCATTGTAGCTTATCCTCATTTCTGTGACTGAATGACATTTGAATAAAGAGTCAAGGCTTTTCCTCTCCTAGTGCAACCTGACAGTTTGTTCCCGCCTTGGTCAAAAGTCCAGTCAGTAAAAGAGTTAACAGAGGCAGCTGATACTGTGGTGAATTTTATTTATATAATTTTTGTTTTGAGTTGCAGCATTCCTTCTTAGAACAGTTTAGGGGGCAGCTTCTTAGATGTCCAGGGAGTCAGAACCTGGCACAGAGGCCTACCTACCTCTTGTCTTGGAAGGACCTGTTACTTAAGAGGTTGAAGTTTTATTAGTATAAATTTAATTATTTGTGGATAAGTACCACTATCAGAAATGCTGTTTTTTTTAACACTTTCTTTAAGTAGCAAGTGGCTTTTCAGTGTTTGACTACTATTGGTAGACATTATCGGGGTTTGGGTAGTGGCAGCGTATAGAATTTTCTAAAATGACTTCTGGTGGTGTCAGACGTGTGCTAGCATATAGCACATGAAACCATGTTCCTTGATTGACAGGTTTCCAGTGAGCTTTGGGAAATCCAGTCTGGATGCTGGATCGTTGAACTAGATCCCAGTAACACCAGCCTATCTACTCGCAAATACTAACAGTAGAATGTTTCCTGCCTTATTTGGTGGGTTAATTATCCATTTCTTTGATTTTACTTGTTTTCACATATATCTTAGAGTCACTTTTTTGGTTTATGCTTTTGTTTTACAAATGCTTATGAGGGCCTGCTGAATGCAGGGCACTATTTCCAGGCCCTTGGGGTATGGTCTGACCAAAACAAAGATCCTCCTCTTCTGAGGCCTAGATCTACACAGTAAGCAAGTGGACAGATTGATAATTTGAGATGGCAATGAGTGCAGAGAAGACCATGACTGAGGGATTAAAAAAGCTGCTTTGGATTGGATTGTGAAACTTAAACTGAGCTTTGGGAAATAGCAGCTAGCTGAAGGGAGAGTCTTCTAGGAGAGGAAGGAGCCAGTATAAAGACACCAGGTGAGAAATAGCTTATCATGTTGGAGGATTTTAAAAGGAGCCTAGTAGAGATGAAGGAATGCAATACAAGTATAAAACTTGGAAGGAGTCAGATAATACAGCATTGTAAGGCACAGTGGGAGTTTGAATTTTAGTCTAAATATAATAGAAAGCAAATAAGGCTTTTTAAACAGATTAAAAAAAATTTAAGTAGTGGTGTGTTTTTGGGTATGTTTGTGTAGCAGACTGGATAGTAGGTCTGGAAGGAGGGCGATCAGGAGGCTAGTCAAGTCATCTAACTGGGAGATGCTGGAGGGTGGACAGGCAGTGGCGGCTGTGTGGACATGTGAGGTGGACAGAGCTGGATGAAGTAGGACTGAAAGGACTTGGTAATGAATTGGCCAAGAATAAGTCAAGCTACATTTGCTGATTTTTTCATCGTGTAGTGCCTGGAATTTCAGTTCAGCAAACACTTATTAAACACCCACTACGTGTGGGTGATACGCTCTTCCTCATTGGAGTTAAAGTACGGTCTTTGCTCTTGAGTTGCTTTTTAGTAAGGGAGATAAACTTCACAAAATAAAGATCATCTCATAAGTAGTGTAGGTGTTAAGAAAGATGCGTGCTCCCGGAGCTGTGTCCGGAGGAGAAGAATTCTGCTTACCCTGCAGCTTGTGGAGAGTTTCCTTCTCTCCACAAGGATTGGATTGGTGCCAGAGCTGAATCTTGATGGGTGTGAAGGAGGGATTTAGTCAGGAGAGGCCGGGTTCTCCCAGAGTGGCCTTGTGTTGAGAGTGACTCCAGAGGGGCACTGGTGAAGGGCACTGAGCCGGCTGGTGTCCTGGAAGGCTGTGTAGGTGGTTAAGGAACTGCAAGGTGAACCTGAACCTGAGCGGTGATGAAGGTTGAGTCTCTGAAGAGTCTGAGCGCGGCTTCTGGCTGCAGGGAGGAGAATGATGGTGAGACTGGCGAGAGTGGACACAGGGAGACAGTTGGTGGGTTCTCTTCCTCCTCAGAAGAACTGTGTGTGCCGGAGACGGGGCGCCACGTCTCTGCGCCTCAAGTTCATGGCTGAGATGGCCTTGCGGGGCGGTTCTGGCCAAGCTGAGAGGGGAGCTGTGCGGGCCCTTCCTTTAGGGAGACCCAGGGACAGTAGGAAGTAGCCGATGAGGAAAATGTGTGCAGGTCATAGTGGTCATCATGCTTTTCCTATTTTCCATTTTTCTACCTATAGCCGATTTTAGTATATGTGCTGCCGAAGCGAGCACATAGCCGATTTTAAAGACTTTTCTGTATTCTAGGGCTTTTCGATTGTTAAAACAAATTTTTTTTTGCTCTTTTACCTAACAGTGAAAGTGAAGTGGTGGTTGAGCGTTACCATGTTTTACAGTTAGAAGTTCTTTAAAGCTTAGAAACTTGGTGTGTCTAATTTAGTGGGTGGTTTTTTTGGTAAGAAATGCAGATTTCTTAAGACTGGTTGTTGTCGATCAAGAAGTTTAGGCTTCTTTCGCTATGGTTTGGTCACATACGTTTATAGAGTTTGCTTTGTTTTTAGTACAGAGCAGTTACTGTTATGTTAGATTATTAGTTATTTCTTAACTACTAAATGGTCTTAAACGTTCAGTCAGTTTAAATATGTCGACTATAATGGTTGGGGAATGGGGGCAGGAAAGGTCCATTATGGATAAATCCGAAACATAGTTTAGGCAAAATTATTTAATATATGACCCAAAATGGATTTACTGTATGAGTTTATGTACTTGAATTTGCAAGAAAGTTGTTTATAAAAAATCTTAAGGTTTTACAAACCTAAAAATACAAATAAGTTCATCGGATGAAAAACATGAAACGTAAATTACCTAGTATTTAAAAATGGCAAATATTTTCTGTTAAAATATCTGTTGTATCGACTGTTAACTATTTCTCCCCCCACAACCCCCTTTCTTTTCATCTTAAAGTGGGACTAAATATAGGGCAGAAATAGTCCTGGCTCCATGCCCCTCATATAATTACTCAGGCTTCATAGTTTTGTCTTTGAAGGGATAGAAGCTATAGTTACAAACGTATGTCACTGCTTCTTCCCTGTTGTTGAATGTGGTGACACAAAGTGGTTCATTGGTAGAACTTCACCTGTCAAGCTGCAGTGAGCTGACTAGTATAAATAAAGCTTCATGAGGCTTTTATATCTCAAACATTTTTGAGACCAAGGAATGGAACACAACTCAGTCATAAAATGAGAATGACATTGATATTTGGGTAATGAATCAATCAGAAGAAGAAAAATGCTTTTAGTGCGTATTATCTACAATAAACCAAAATCCAAACTGCTGTAGGGTTGGAGACTCTAAAGTTAAAAGCGAGGTCTAATATGGCAGTTTTATAATATCCATTATATGTGAATGTGTAGGGATAATGAATTCATTTTCATAAACATAAACATGGGTGGTGCTTTGATCATGAAATCAGATTTTTGATGTTTCATCCTAAGGAAGTGGTCAGGAATATGGTCAAAGATTGCTGGTGTTCATTTCTGTTGTTTGTAATAGCGAAGAATTAGAAAAATCCCAATCCTGACCTTTAATTTTCTTAACTCTAATAATAAAGGAAACTTACCAACTCATTTTTTTTTTACCAGAATTGAACATGAATAGTAAAAGGAAAAGTTTATACTAGTGTTACTTATAAAAATAGATGAAAAATTATAAACAAATACCAGAAACTAGAGTTACTAAAAACGAAGTGACAGAACCATGACTAGGAAAAGTTTATTGCAGAAATGCAAGTGTAATTCAACTACAGACATCTATTAATACGAGATACTTCATAGTCCTATTTAAGAAGAACACTGATCATCTTGATGGATCTAGAAAGAGGTTTTTTAAAAAAAATTTTAAGATTGTATTTATTTGAGCAAGAGAGAAAGTGCTTGCACATAGGTGGGGTGGGGGAGGGACAGAGGGAGAGAGAATCTCCAGCGGACTTTGTGCTGAGCACAAAGCCCAATGCTGGGCAGGACCCTGAGATCTTGACCTGAGACGAAACCAGGAGTCCAAAGCTTAACTGACAGAGCCATCCACATGCCCTCTAGAAGGAGATTTTTATAAAATTCCATATTTATTCATGTTAACAAATTAGAAATAGGAATTTTCTTAACTTGATAAAACATACTTCTAAAAATGTTAACACTTAACCATGAATCATGAATCTTTAGAGAGAATACACCAAATTGTTAATAGTTATTATTTATGGATAATCAGGAATGTCCCATAGGTTTTCTTAATATATATATATATATATTTAAATGTTTTTTACTTTTATAGCTAGCACATTTAATTTAAATGTTTAAATAGGACTTTTGGGCAATACTTAAACTACTTTTCTTTCTTTCGTACTTAAACTATTCTTATTTTACTTTTTTTACCCTTTGAAGTCAATTTTTCTGTTAAAGGACAGTTATATTTTCATTCTGTTAACATTCTTTTACAAACATATACATTTATATCTGTATTTTCCTTCAAAAAGTATGTTCCTTAAAAACAAAAAGTAGTATGTATACATGTTCAGAATTCACCCACATGTGATACAGTGGGAAATGTCTCCCCTACCGTAGGGTGCCCCATCTCCTTGCCCAGTTTCTTTCCTCAGAAATCATTGTGTTATCTGCTTCTTATGTATCCTTTCAGGATAATATGTTTCTTTTTAATGCTGTTACTGATTTT